TTTATGCGTTCAACAAAAAAAATGCAATTGTTCAAAAATTTCGGAACGGTTTAATTGATTCAAATAAAAGTAACAAATTTTATGATATGAAATAGTATGTGGTGGGATTTTTTGTGTAAACATAAGATAATGAGAATTAATGTTTATTGCCAGACTTCTTCATAGATGTCTCTAGTGTAGAATTATTGATAATACTCGGGAACCTTTTTCTGTAGAAATACACATAACGTAGACGTCAAGGCTCCTAATTCTTAACTTCTCTGACTTATATAATTAATTTTCCGTGTCCATTACTGCCCTTTTTTCAGATCGATAGCTAGTTTACAATCCAGCACGTTTTATGCAACACATGTAGTATGGCATATAAGTTCAGTATAATTGCCATAATATATGTGTGATATAATGAAATTTTATAAAAGTTTTTCACTTGTCATAAATGGAAACAAAGTCTTTTATAGCTTGCACTGTGATCCTGTCAGGTTACATTTGTTACGTAAAACGTGCTGGATGACTCTACACTGGGTAGTCCAGACTTGACGGTGCGACTGAATGCCTATACACTATACAGTGCATATTGTACCGGCTCGAATCATGCAAAATTTAGAGTTAGTGAGCCCTGTATACAAAGGGTGTCTCACATCATATTAGATCGTCAATGGATCTGATTTACGTTTGTTGGGACTAATTCTGAAAATTTGAGAACAATGAATCATTTGGAAAAATAAATAAGGCGGATAAGTATCATGTGTTTATTTTGGAGCTAAAGCTTGAAGAGATAATCTTATATGATATGGGACGCTTTGTTCTACAATTTAAAGAAATGTGGACTTGTTCGACTTCACTCACAAATAAACTTATAATTTTATAATATTATACAAAATGTAAGGTAAGAAGAATCACGAAACATGACAGTTGGTAAATTGTGTTGAATGTTGTCTTCCATACACTGTATTAGATATTAAAGGCTATTTGCACTTTATTCTGTTTAAAAAATCTTTTGCTGAAATATATTTTACTTTGAAATTAATTTTACTATAATATTATAATATTTTACTATAATATATATTTAGTAATTATACTATGTATAATATTTTTATTATTGTATTTGGTATTAATATATTAATATATAATATATGTATATCCAATATGTTTTCTCATGCTTCTGCCAGTGTTAATTCTCTTGGGGGCTTTAATGAAATACATAGCATCACAATATGCAATCAAACATCTGGATATGATTAGAATCTATAACTAGTTTTTTTATCATGAAAAAAATAGATTATTTAGTCTAAGTAACCCCCGGGAAGAGATTATTTAGTCTATGTTACCCCCGGCCCCGGGATACCCATGGGTTCCCTTAAAATTTGTTTAACCAATTTGGTCCAACCGGTTAGCCAGCTATAGCTGGGGATGGATCGTTTTATCTTTTTTGAAAACGATCGTTTCGATTTTGAAAACGACAAAAAGACGAAAAACTAAACAATCGTTTTTATAAAGTTTGTTGTTTCGTTAACGATGACCCTTTCTTAACCATCGTTAACAACAACCCTTCGTTAACGATCGTTAAAGAAGAAAGGAGGAGAGAGGAAACCGACCTCAAAGGCGTTAGTGCATATTTTTAAGCAGTTTTAAAGAAAATATCGATAAGTTTTAGTTCCCCAACATTTTTTTTAGGGATACGAAAGGAAAAAGATTGTTTTCAAGAACCATTTACAACCCTAGCTGAAATATAGCTACATACATATACAAATAGATATATGAGCTAAGAGTTCTAATAAAATCTACAAGCGTTGCCCGTGGCAGAAAAAAAAAATTAAAAATGTTAAAAATAAAATTTTGAATTTTGAGAAAAGAATTACTATTTTTTTTTAAAAATCTATTTTTTAACCTTTGTTACCCTCAGAGTATCCATGGGTTCCCTAAAAAAGTTCAGCCAATTTGGTTCAGCCGTTAGGCCAGCTATAGCTAACATATAAATAAAAAAAACACATATAGTTGTAGAAAGCAGTTGAGGTGTCAACACCTCCTCTCTCTGAGAGAAAGCATGAAAATGCTTGCAGAATATATTTAGGACTAGGGCCGCAACCCTTATATAAACTTTATACTGTCAACAAGAATGGGTTCACATCCTTTGCTAATGGTAGATGTCCAAGTCTACTACAGTCAAAAAGAAGGGGTTTGCACCCTTTGCTAATGGTAGATGTCAAAGTCTACTACAGTTAACAAGAATGGGTTCACACCCTTTGCTAATGGTAGATGTCAAAGTCTACTACAGTTAACAATAAATTATTTTATCCCCCCCCCCCTCAATATATTTTTAACTTTCATTTGCAGACCTTATTAAGATCTGACAATTTCCAATTAATTAATTAAGTAATTAATGCATTTCATTTCTGAGAGCATTTAGAACAGAAACCGATTTTTCTTAACTTTTTGTCTGAATTATCAAGAATAGAATATTTAGATCTTTTTTCTTCTGTTTTTGGTATAAGTAGGTCTTCCTACCCCGAAAATTTTTCAAGCTTTCAATATCTTAATTTTGTTATTGTTGTAATAAATATTATTATTATTGTAATAGGATATTATTATTGTTGTAATAAATATTATTATTATTGTAATAGGATATTACAAAACATTATAAGTTACTGAATAAATTTTTTAAATAAAAAGAATTTTTGTGTTTTTATAAATCATTAAAATGGGATTGGTTGTGGAACTTTTTATATATTTCACCAGTGAAATATATAGGACAGGAACGGATTGCATACTGTGTTTAGAGAATTGGAATAGGATTTTGAAGTGAAGAGGGTGGGGGGAGGGGGCAACTGAGACATACCCTCAGTTCTTCTTGATGCCATATAATGATATAGACCTAGATATGTCTTTTTATTTAAAGGGACTGTTCGGGTATTTAGGTAATTTCAGGGTAAACTAAACAGCCTATTCTCTGTTGATTAGTATTAGTCTTACTTTTCAAAGACAACTGTGGCCGTAGAAAAAAAACCGATTTTCGTTCAGAATACCAATCAACAGCGAATAGGCTGTTTAGTGTACCCTGAAATTACACAAATAAGTGAACAGTCCCTTTAAGGATATATTTACAAGAGTAAATCGTGAGGTGGAATTGTGTTTAAAGGAATGTAGGCGTATATTAAAGTGACCTGTGCCATGCACAGATTTCATACGCAGAACAGAGATAACATGTCTTCCACATAATTGATCAAATAAAGGATACTGTTCACATAGATTTAAACTGCTATGAAAGGTTACATCCATTTATAGGACTGGGTCTACTTAAAAGTGAAGCGCAGCCTTGGCCTTTGATTTTACCTCTTTAACTATTAAATTTTGTGTAGCCCTAGAAATGTCAATTTTAACAAAGTCCATCCAGATAACTTTAATTTAAGCCCAAAAAGACGTCGTGTAGCGTGCCAAGATATTAGTATTAGAAATAATGCAATCAAATATTTGTGCACTTGTCAGGGTGGTTATTTCTAGATAGTACAGGATTTTTGAGAAAGTAAAAACAAAATAGATCGTTCAGAGAAATGAAGAAAAACATGATTTAGAATTTTAAATTTAAAAAAAACGATCGGCCTTTATTGAACGTACAAATTTTCAAAGAGATTTTGAAAAAAATATTGTTTTTTTATCGAACGAACGATTTCTTGCAACAACCTTTTTTTGAAGCAACCATTTTTTACAAAATAAATATTTTTTTCGAACAAATTAAAAAAAAACTACGCAATAGATGGAAAATGAACAATAATTTGAGAATGAAAGAAATCAATTTAATTGAATGATTGAAAAAAAAACGAACAAAATAGGTTGTTGGCAAGCGATGAAACCTAAAACTGGAATGTACTCTGCTCTTCCTTTAGTTATTTAATTTATCCTAGCTGATAGCTATCTTTCTCCGGGTCTGTAAAATTCCAATTGGACGCTTGTTGAAAATAGTTTTTGTTTACACTTCGTCAAAATGTAAAGAAGGATCGACCGGATCAAAAAAATACATACATTTTGCCGGCCTTTTAATGCAGTGTGCTCTCAATAAATGAATCTATGTCAGAAAGTCCCGGGATAAAAAGTTTCTGGAAAAAAACCTGGAAATAAAAACTTTTGAAAAAAAGTCCGAATTTTATCAAGTCCTTGGAAAAAATGTCACTGGAAATAAAGTCATGGGTTTTGGATTCCTGGGACTTTTTTTCCTAACATGATGGGGGCTGTCAATAAAGTCTCAGGAAATAAGATCCCAGGAAAAAAGTCCTGAAGAAAATAAATCCGAGGAAAAGAAAAACCTGGAATTTTGAATTATGCATTTTCACTTGTTAGAGGACTTTTTTCTGAGGACTTTTTTTTATAAAATCATACTGGAGCCAGAAAAAAAGTCCTAGAAAATAAAGTCTCGAATTGGTAGGACTTTATTTCCGGAGACTTTTTAATAAAAGGACTTTCTTTCCACAGGACTTTTTTAGTGTGAAATTTTAGGACTTTTTTCCGGAAACTTTTTTCCAAGGACTTTTTTGGCGGTCACCCAATAAATGTGCCTCTATTTCCTTACATTGCAATTGCATGATGTATTACATATGTTAAACGAGTTGTTTCAAATATCGGCCCCATCGGAAAATTACTTTAACTTAGACCTTATTGCTTTTCCTATGAACCCCCCCCCCATCCGTCTACATTCCCTCTCAGGGTACAGTAGAGTATATGATTGGAACCGGTTTCAATAGTTGGAAAGGCCGGGGAGTGTATAGCCTCGACACAAGGAGAACCGGTTCCTCCAACCTCCAACCAACCGGAAGGTTTTGTGTTCACAGCCTCGGAAGGTAATTGTGGGGGGGGAAGGGTTTGCGGATTTTTGTTTGCAAAAATTTTTAAACTTTTGTTGGTAAACAGTGTAATTTAAAATCGAATAAGACTATGGATATATGTTAAAAAAAATTATAAGAAATTACATTATCANCCCCCCCCTCCTTCAGTCAGTCTCAGTACGAGTATACGTTTAGAACTGGTTTACCAATAACATTAAACAGTGAACAGTGAACAGTGTACTTTATCAATTTCAAAGGAATAGGGTTTAATTTTAAGTCGTAAATCCATTTTTATATAAACCAAAACATTTTTCCCTCTCTTTTTTATATTTTTCAATTGGCATGGTCAAAGCTGATAAAGTTATCATTTAAAGAACATAAAAAATTGAACCAAATTTAAAAAGAGATAAAAATAAATATAATATGTTAATGATTACGTTTAGGATTTATGTTGGATGGATTCTTACTTAATTCTCTTCAAAACTTTTATTTGTGAAATTTTAAGTATTTTATGGATTTCGAGTAGAACTATAATTAATTAAAAGATGAGAAAATATATTTGCTTTCATGTTGAAGTTGGTGGCAGTTGCCTATTCATTCAATAACATTAAAAAATTATCATCCTGCACTGTAAAAAAACTCTTAACATTGTTTGTTTACACTACTGAAAGCATTGAAAAACATTTAGTTCATAACAGTACATTAGGGAAACCTATAAAACCTTATAAACTTATGCATCCCTAATATTCTGATAGTAATGTCTGACAAAATACTTCGGAATCAATTTATTATTTATAATGTTTTCAGGGTACCGTTGTGAATTTGGCATTGCCATCTTTGAATAGAGGGTCACTTTACACATTTTTCTTTCCCCCCCCCCTAAAAATTTTAAGGGGGGCTCGAAATATTTCCCCCTAGCCCCCTAACCAAATGTCTAGTTGCGCGCCTGACTATAATTAATTACGCACACAGTCCTTTTAATTAAAGTCAGTAATCCACATATTTTGGGTTGAAAAGAATTTGACGCAAAAGTTTTGCCGGCCTAAAGGCCTAATTGCTGTCTAAATTATGCCATTATGATTTGGTTTAAGCCACAAATAAATATTAGTGTTTCTATAATCCAATATATTTTCACCCGAACATTAACAATGTATATTTTAAGAAATTTATTTAATGGAGAACTGTCTTCATAGTTTTAAACAATATTTCTTTTGAAGAAGCGCATTCCCAATTCGCAAGGGTACCCTCAAAGAGAATAGAATATATAAGAGGGGAATTTACTAGAAAATAGTGTAAAACGGCCATTTTGTTGTTCTGTTTCCATACTGCAGGTGTACTTCACATATTAATGCTATATAACCTTTTGAGCCCTGGAATATCATTTTATAGAAAATCTAAAATTAATATTAAAAGAAAACCAAATTATGAAATAGGCTGGTTTCATAATTGACAAATGATCATTTCACTTTACAAACGATGATTTTCCGTTATAACTATAAATCAAATGATGTTTTTTATTCACAAAATCCATTATAAAGTTTATTGAACAGCTTTAAGAATTCGAAATTGAAATGAATAGTCTAGGGAACATACTGTATTTGTGTACTCTACTGCATATAATTTTTGAACATTTACATGATTTGTACACTTTGAACTCCCTTTTAGGCTGAAAGGTACTGAAAAAATTCATACCGAGAGATTCTCTAAATTCCCCTCTAATATATATTCTATGGGGTGAAAACATATCCTCGTTTTTCCATCGGAAAAAATGAGTATCTCTGAGATCATAATTTACAGAATTTAACACTTTTTTTAGATAGAAAACCGAGGATATCTGCTTTTGATCGATAAATATTTTAACTGTACCGTGGTGGATCCAGCAAGCCACTGTACAAATGTAGAGTCTACTCCAGGATTTGCGGAAACAGAAATGTTTTTAATCTTTAATTTCGAACTCGTGTTAACAAAGAAAATTTATAAATTAGAAAATAAAAATTTGGAGTCCTGATAGCATTTACTATCAACATTTTACACCCCATGCATCAGTTTTATGGGGCATTTCAGCAAACTACTCACTAACAAACGTTATAAAATAAAAATAATACATAAAGTACATATATCCTGAGCTGGACACTTTTGAATTGATGGAGTTATTCTAAATCGATTCAATTCAGTTCAAGTTCTAATGAAATAAATCTTAAAATGTTGTAATTGTAATAGGAAGTTTATGTATCAACTTCATTTGGTTATAATCACAGCTTTAAATCGTTGAAACGCTTCGGAATTTTATGAAAAAAAATGTTTTTTGGTTTGAAAAGTTTTGAACTTAATAAAATTACAGAAAGAATTTCAATTTACATTTAAGCTAATTTTCAAGAAATTGTACCAAAGCATTTGTCATGCACAAGAGTATGTTTCATTTTGTTTCGAATATGTTTTTTCTTGTGTTAACCTGAGATGCCCCCCAGTCTATCCGCAGTCCAGACAAGGGAATATAAATCGTTATTGTGGGCTCAACAGACATTTATTGCAAGATTGTATTATCCATACAAGGACCTAGATAGCCTGCACAAATAATGCTCTGCTACTTTTCTTTCAAATTTCAAAATGCAAATGTTACACATGCCTATTTTAAATTGATAAAATTAATAAATATTCATTGAGCAATTCTGCTTTTTGTTATATTTCTGCTGTTTCTGATACATATCTGATGTTTGTGTTACATCTCTGCTGTTTGTGCTACATCTATGCTGGTTGTGTTTTATGTCTGCTAGTTGTGTTGTATGTCTGTTTTTTGTGTTACATTTCTGCTGTTTCTGATAGATATCTGATGTTTGTGGTACATTTCTGCTGTTTGTGCTACATCTAAACTGGTTGTGTTGTATGTCTGCTGTTTGTGGTTTATCTCTGCTGTTTCTGGTTTATGTCTGCTGGTTCTGTTTTATATCTGCTGGCTGTGATACATATCTGATGTTAGTGTTACATCTCTGCTGTTTGTGCTACATCTATGTTGGTTGTGTTGTATGTCTGCTTTTTGTGGTTTATGTCTGCTGTTTGTGATACATATCTGATGTTTGTGTTACATCTCTGCTGGTTGTGCTACATCTATGCAGGTTGTGTTTTATGTCTGCTGTTTGTGGTTTATATCTGCTGGCTGTGTTACATATCTGATGTTTGTGTTACATCTCTGCTGTTTGTGCTACCTCTATGCTGGTTGTGTTTTATGTCTGCTATTTGTGGTTTATGTCTGCTGGTTGCGTTACAACTCTGCTGTTTTTTTTTGGTCTGCTGGATTTGTTACAATTGCTGTTTTGTTTTTCATGAAGTGTATTCTACCATGATGTGCAATTCTAATTTATTATCTGTATTCATAATTATTAGTATCTTAACTATTTTGTATGTTGACCCAGCCGGGCTAGCCCGGTCAGTTCATTCTACCTGTTTATAAATAAAGTAGTTGAATATCATTAATTGATCAGAACGGACGTATACAGAGCCTTGAGTTTTGGCTAGAGATTTAGTTAGAGAGAATCTCATTAGACTTTGAGTTAAGGAATCGTTAGAGAAGTAGCATCTAGATTTGTTACAAAAGTGGTGGCAGCGGTGGGATTATAATATAACCCAAATCTAGATGCCAGAGACTCCGAAAGTATTTCGGAAGAAAAGTAAAGTGAGAACCTGGTTTAACGGATTAGCCAGAGAAGTTTTGACAGGAGAGGATTTGCCTGCGAGAGAGTCAAGTGTGGCTACAGGAAATACAGTGGCTACCTTTCAGGGATACCCAAGCTTACCCAGCGATTCTGAATCGGAAGTAGAGATGGAGGGACCATCTTACCCAGCGATGGATGGCCTGGCGGAGATGAGGCAGCAGTTTCAGATGCTACAAGCACAGCTGGCGGAGACTAAGGATAAACTGGCGAGTATTGAGCGGAAGGATAAGGAGAAATCATTCGCCCAGACTTGGCAAGAGGCAGCTACACCGGAAACTCAGGATCCTATCGGAAGAGTAGTGGAAATACTAGAACG